AAAAAAAAAAAAAAAAAAAAAAAAAAAAAAAAAAAAAAAAAAAAAAAAAAAAAAAAAAAATTGCCAAGTTCGAAAACCACTTTTAGTTAAAACTAATTAAAACTAATTACAACTAATTAAAAGTGATTAACATGCATAGACCATTATTACTTATAGTTAAAAAGTAGGGAAGTTCGAAAATCAAGTCATCCACCTCTGAAATGATAGTTGGTGTCTTATCCATCAAGCTATACTCGAATTGGCAGCATAGACTATAGAGTAAACTGGAATTTGTATGCAAGCAAATGAATCAGTGGTGGTTTGACCACGACTGATCATGCTTACCTAGCTGATGTTGCCAGGATATTGGGTTCTCCAGGATTAAAACGGACAGAGATAACTGAGTCTGTTCCCCACTCAAAACTACTCACCGGTTGAGACCTATAAACAAGAATTCAGAAATATCTTCAATATATAACGAGAAAAAAGAAAGTACTGAATGAAGTGAATGGTGATGAATACCTGTTGTGATCCCAGATATCTAATTGCGCACCAGCTGTAGCAAAAAGATTTCCATCCCACTGATGATCAACAGCCCTATAAATCAGAAACTATGGGCTCAAAATCCAACTTCAAAAGAAGAAGCAGAAGAAGGGCTAAACCAATGTCTAAATTAGTAGCTTACCAGAAAGCATTCTTCCAGGCATAAACTGCTAGAGGCTTGAATGTATGGGTTTCAAAATGTTAGTAGGAAATATATAAATAATTCACGCATTACAACACACAGGTAATTCAAGAACAAACCTCAGATGAATTATTCGAAGTCACATATGAATTCAGAGTGGGAATTGGGATATTCCATAACCTGACACTAAAAAACACAAAAAAGAAGGTTTGGTCCCAAGTAGAAAAATATGACGGTCTAACATTCTAAATTACATAGAATAATACATCTATAAAATGGTGTCTTACGTGCAATCTGTCCCACATGATACCAGGATGCGTCCATCGGCTGATGCAGTCAAGCCTCGAACAGCACCTTGATGTCCAGGAAACTGACAAACGGTTCGCCTACAATGTATGAAGGTTAGCAGTTATTTCAGGATTTTTAATTACAGCTTAATTTCTGTCAAAAAAAATTGGTCGCTATAAAACAATATTGCATAGATCGAAAGGTTGGAAGACATCATATTACCTGTTAGCAATATCCCAGAGGCGAATATCTGTTGACATAAAATCAATTTCTTAGAAGAAGGCAAAAAAAGTCGATATGCATGAAAAATTAATATCATTGTTTGAATGCAACAAGAATATTGCAGTACCATTCACTGATGGAGATTACATAAGATTAAAATGGGGAAAAAAAGGATGGATATTTAGACAGTTGACTGCCCCGACTATTGCATCTCAATAGAACGTCAGTGCTGGAAATAGAAAATAACAAGCTTATAATATAAGTACCAACAACAGCAATTATAAATGGTTCCAACGCACCACAAGAATTAAACACATGAAATTTTCCGAAAACTTTCGACCAACAATCAGAGTAAGAAATAAAAAGAAGACAAAATTAAAAACATTAACCTAGCAGCTGAAGTACTAAATAATTTACCTCCATCCATCGAACCGGAAAATATCCCTTTCAAGTGATTAGGATTCTTTGCCATACATGAAACGGCGTCTAAATGCCCATCCATTGCTCCAATAAATGGTTTTGCAAACATCTAAAACATAGAAAGCATGAGAGTGTTTACTCATTTATCGAAAGTTTAAACGATCCAGCAGCCTGAAACAATAGTTTCAAATCATAACATTACCCTGTCCATTTTCGCGGCATTAAGTGCACGGACATACTCAACCGCCTTCTCTTGCGTACGGAGACTGGGGTCGAAGTTCCGAAATACCCTCTAATGGTAGCGATACAACGTCAATTCTTGTAGCAAGAGAGAAATTCAACAGAAAAAAAAGAAGAAAGAAACGTCGATAGACAGTATGCACAGGTGAATCACCTGGAGGTCTTGGCTTCGTTCTCGAGTGAATTCATCAGTGGAGCGGGATATTACCTTGACCTTCATTGTTGAGGGAAAAAAAAAACCCTAAGGAGAGTGAGCGATGCAGAACCGAGGTTGAAGAAGAAGGTAAACCCCGCGCTGATAGGCCAATTTTACAAGAGTTTGCCCAAATAAATTATTTTAAAATCAAAGTTTCAAATATACCATAAAGTGACGAATTACGTTTCCGCCCCTGGCCCTCTGGCTAAATTATAGTTTCTCCCTTTTTAATTATGTCTATTTAATTTATAAAATTTAAAAGTTGATTAATAAAACTATCCATTTTAATTTTGTTTGTAACATCTTCATAACTCAAACTTCTAATTTTGTGTATAATTATTTTAAAAAATATTGATTAAATCTTTATAAGTTTTTTTTATGTGATAACTCATTCAAAATCACTCTCAGATATATTTTTAATCATTCAAAATTAGTTATAATAGTATGAAACTAACATTTAAAAAGGATTACATGCTCGAGAGTAATTTTGAACATCCGCCTTACGAGGAATTTGTATCATAGACAAAACAATCCACGGGACACTGGAATGTTCAAGAACCCAAAACAACGAAAGGTGACTCGATATCGTCATTGCATCAAATTAAACTAAGCAAATGAAGAGAGTTTCTATTCTCTAAAAATCAATACAAAAAGATCCCAAGTCGAGGGGAACTAAGTATTAACCATGAAATATTAACTCAATCAATTCAGGCACATTTCCTCTTTCGAACTCATGGCTGTTCATCAAAGCTACAAATGCACTGGTTGGATGACATTACGACGAGCGTAACTAAACTCGAACCACATCCCGCATCATGCTTTTTACGTCCACCAACATCCTGGTTAGAACTATATCAAGCAGCAGTGTTTTGTCCGTTCCTACTTACAATGGCTTGCTATTACTGTTCTTCTCTGTATTCTGGGTTCTCCTGTAAAACGACGAATCCTTCTAGGATTGGAGAAAGAGGGATGTACCTGAACAAAGACAGCTAAAGTTAGCTTATGTTTTATCGAAGTCAGGAAAAAATTACACAAACTATATGGCTAGTTCTAGTACTTCTCAGTGGCCAGCTCTGCCCTGTCACCAGCAGCAAGAAGAACTGGGGTTGAGTGAGTCTGAAAACCAGTGATCGTCTTTGGACGACCAGCCTGTCCAACGACATCAACAGCCTGACCCACCCGAACAGGTACCGAAAGAGGCTTGAGATTCTCATCCACAGTCAACAGCATTCTCGGCTGTCATACTTGAAAGTCAGAAGGGGGGAAAAATAGAAAACCAGTAAACAGAATGACACGAGATAATCAACCAAGACGGACCTGCATTGCCAAAACAAGGTAGTAGAGCACATAATGATATTTCCCCAGGATAATGGCTTTCATGTCAAGACATGCATGCAACACGATTATTAATCCTGCAAGCGCGGTCCTGCAATGAGGAGTACATACTATGAAACAAGATGATAAAACATAAAACTTCAAAAAGATAAGACTAATAGAACTAGGTTTCTCCAAAGCAGTCACTGACGGTGCTAATAAGAATCGGTCAGAATGATAGGGGTTAAGAGTTAACAGGCCCTTCCCCAAATGTACAAGCCCTTGGGCAATCCTGACCTGCAAACATTTACAAAATGAAGGTATCAGACACTAATTCTTCACACCAAGTAAAAAGGGAACTCCAAAATGGAAAATTTCATAGGCATCATTACACAAAAAAGAAGGCTCGCATCTTTGTAGTAATAACTCGAAAGATTTCGAAGCATGCCAGCTATTCTTGCATTATTGGTTCCAGCACCAATCAAACCTAAGGAGATCACTGCTGCCTGTAACATCCATTTAAGAATTTTAACATTGAATTTCTACAAAAGCAATGAAGAAACTAAAATGAACCAAAAACTCGAATCTCACCATTGCTACTTCAGAATCTGTATCATGGCTGAGTCTGCTTAACGTGTCCATAACATTAACCTGGTCAAATAATCCAGTCATACAATTAAATTTGGCCTCAATATGGCATCCTTATAAGAACCAACTCGCTAAGAAGTCTTCGCTTAGCTCAATATAGCATCTTCATTAGAAGTAAGAATATGTGGCATACTTCTCTATATTAGGATGGAGTGTTTGCTGTATAGGAGTGTTTGCTGTATAGGAGCATTTGCAGCATGCTTTAAGCCTTATTACCTTACTGTGAACTGTTTCATGAAATGATAGAGCTCTTGACCCTTACAATTACTATCTTTTTCCCCTCTACTTATTTGGCTGGAAAACTTTATAGTTCGAAAATTATAGAATAGATCAGAACATACCAGGTCTTCATCAAAAAACACATCATACTGACCTTGGGGTTTGAAATGCAAAGGAGACCAAGAGCCAAGGGAACAGCACGACGAATATTTTGCTCCCCATACTGCAAAAGATGCTCTAATGAACGAATTGCCATCTCCAAACCCAGTTCTTCAGCCATTGCCACCATTGCAATTCCAAGAACAGCAGCTCCTTGGTGAGTTTCACCCTTCTCAAGATGTTGAGAACAATGACCAAGAAGGTTTTGAACCTAAATGGGGGAGAGATAGACAGCTAAGTTGGTGCATTATGTTTATACATTGATAAAACTACACTGCATACCTTAAGTACATTCCCAGTTCCAGCATATGCACAGGAGAGCAATGTCATGTCGCAGTATTTTCTGATTTTCTCGTTAAATGTCTTGGAAACCTCAGCTGTGGCCTCCACACTTTCCTGTTAGAACCAAGAGAAGGAAGTAATAAAGGAAAAGCCTTAACTTCCTCAAAATGCATGATGCCTAAAGCATCAGTTGAAGGTCAAATCTTAAAACACAGGAAAATAATCATAATTACGATAGACAATGTATTCACAGCAGACTGCAGTCGCACCTGCTTTCCAAGGTATAGAAGACCAAGGCTAAGTGGTAGAAGGCGACCTAGAGCATCTCCCAATTCAGACTCACTTCGATCCATTAATGCAAATATAATTGCTTGGGCAACCTCCTCATTGCAGGAGCCAAGAAATATTAAACCCAATGAGAGTGAAGAGAATGCAATCACATCAAGTGAAGCTCTTGAATCATTTAATATAGGGGTCAGTTTTAGCCGCAGCTGAAAGGATACAAAATGCAAGAGTATCAATAAGGAATGGGAAAAAAATCATTGACCTGTGAAAACGTACATTACAATATCTTATACCACAAACTTGTAGTTACACTATATATATGTGTATATATACATATATGTATGTATGTATGTGTGTATATATATATATATATATATATATATATATAGAGAGAGAGAGAGAGAGAGAGAGAGAGAGAGAGATTTCATCGATACATGAAAATGAAGAAAAAAGCTCCAACATACATTCTCCCAATGGGAAAGAAACGAAAAGCATAAAACCCAGAGGAAAAACCTGATTTTGGGATTTGTCAAACCCGTAGATATGTTAAATATGCTATACATAAAAAAAAATGTTAATATTAATAAAATTTAATTTTTGAACTAAATTAATTGAAAATTGTCAAAATGACCCAGAAAAGTTTGTATAATTAGAGGTACAAAAGCAAAACATTATAGAAATCCCAAAGCATCACTTTGCAGGGAAAAAGAAGGAGATTTTCAAAAGATATTCATTGTTCTGACATCCACTAAGCCTACAAACAGAAAAAGGAAAGATGGGTGGTAACCTGCTCATTTTGAGTTCCTGCATACGTAATGCCCAACCCCATTATTGCACCTATACGGGTGGATGCATCTTCTTTGTCAACGTATTCTATTAAAAGTGCTAATGCCTGAAAAGAGGGAAGACAGTTCAGAAAATTGAAATAGATTCCAACGTTCTGAACAATAAAGAAAAAAGACTCACAGGATCACAATCATTCTTGATAGCACAATTGACAATACCAACTCCCAACAATGCTCCAGCAACAACATGGTTATCATTGCTGTGCAAAAATTTGTCAATTTGAGAAAGTCCAGCATCCACATCCCAAAGCAAAATCATACCCTGTGATCATGATGATAAATGATAAGACAAAACCAGATGCTAAACAAAATGGGAAGACAGAAATGATGTAAACTTACCAAACTTGCTGCAGCAGTCATCTTCCCATGTTCTTTATTCTTAAATAACCAATTTCCTGAAGAAGCGCCACTGGATGAATCTGGTGTAACTGTCATTAACTTATCCTGGAATGACAATAACAAATAATATGAAGCCCGAAGTAACATGCCACTTCTTCTGCACATTGATTGAACATCTCTTACCTGACCAAAGCCAGCATTCACAAAAGCATTAACGAAGGTAGCAGCCAAGTTTTGTCTAGCAGAATCAACACTTGCACCAGCACTAGCCCTGCCATCAAGCAAATGTGCCTGAAATATTTCAAGGACAGAAATCAGTATAATGAGAATGTGGATATAGCAGTCACGTGCAAGGGTGAGATAACCTTATAGATGTCTTCTGGAGATTTAGGCTCCATGACCTCAATGTCACGAGCAAGGGTGAGATAACCTTCACTTATTTTGGCATTATTGATGATTTCCTGCATTGCCTCTCTCTCGTCGTCATCTGCACACATGTCGTCATCAAGCTCAAAACTAGTACCCTGTATGAAAACAAAAAAAGAAGTTAATTGAAGAAAAAAGTTTTCTTAATGGCACAAAATGATAAGATAATAGTCGGTCACTGACGAACTAGTCATGTCAACCATTCATAAATCATAAATTCTCTCTCCCAAAATAATCCAATAACCAACCGATAATAGTAATTAGTGATATACATGCACCATAATGTATTATACAAACTGGTACCCCACCCAATCATCTCTTGAAGTCCAAAGGAATCAAGGGGCAATATGGCAAAAGTACTACACAATTTTGAGATTCAGATTCAGATTCAGATTCTAAGCATTTATACAAAATAAAGTGCACACAAAATGCCTAACATCAATGCATCAGAAAATAGATCCAATAAACTGACACTAAATAGCATAACAATTAATATATAGATTATCAGAACTTACCTGTCGAGCGAGTATGTACGAAAACTGCTTTTTACGCTGCATATCATCACAGGCTTGATAGATCTGTCTGACATACTGAAACAAAATGAAATTTAAAGAGGTTTTCAACATAATTCGATGGTTAAGTAGTTCAAATATACTAGGTATGTAACACAAGGGAAAAAAACTGCTTAAAATTCCTCATCTTTCACCAAGAAACGAGGATGATACTTTATACTCCCGATGATATAACATAATAATACTCAAGTCCCGAACTGACATTAATGGGCAAAAATTTCAAGGTTAAAATAGAGGGAAAACCTGCAAGTTATCAAGGAACAATGCAATCTGAAGTGCATTGGTATACTCTTCAAATTTTAGATATATCATGTATGCAATGTCCAAAGCTAGCATGTCATCAGGTCCAGGAAGATATCTGTGATGTTGGCAATGTTAAATACCATAATCAAGGAGAAGGATTCAAAAAATGGAGAAGGAAAAACTAACACTATTAGAGGTTATAAGTTTGTGAATAAATAATAATCATATATTATGACTCCCTAATGGAAAATTGAGTCTCATCGAGAAAATATAAAAGAATACAGGAAAGCATACAAGCCCAACAAAAAAGGTTAAAAAAAAATAACCCATGCTAACTATGCACAAATGAGCTCCCATCTAAAATTGAGCATTTTGGATAATTAAACCTTTGAGGCCAACACCAAAAGGTATTAAACCTAACACAAATTAAGCCTATACCCAAGACCTCTGAACCCTTCCAAAAATCTTACTTTTAGTCTCAAGCCAAAACCCCAAAAAAAAGCCCCACCACAACACCTGGATTAGCCAAACACCTATTTAAAATTGAAAAGTTTTTCACTGTAGGTAGCATATTTAATTATCATCATAATATAATACCACAGCATTCAAAAAGTAATAAAGTATGCCATTTTCTTTAAAAGAATAGTAAAACAAACATGACGCAGTTGCTTCAAATCCATAAACATGACAGACGCCCATCATATTCTTCAGAAAAATAATAGTTCAGCTAAAACTTGAATTGAAATTAATTAAGAAAGGGCATCAATCACGAAGAAATTTAGACAGAGAGCCCAAACAAGCTTGAAAACATGACCGTTCATATCAGACAATAATTCCTAGACAAGTAGTAAAAATGAAGTGCAATTATGTGTACTACAATAACTCAAGAAGATGAGCTGACATACTTGGCTGAACTAGTAAGATAGATACAGGTCCTTTTGAAATTTGTATTGTCAACATGCTCTACTAACAGATCAAGATCTTCAACCTGGTACAAGTCACATGAATAAATTCAGTCAGCCATACCCTTTTCCCCATCCCACCCAAAACAAAAATAAAATAAAAATTAGTATCTCACCTCCATTAAGAGATCAACAGCTTCAGGTTCGGCATTGTGCTGAAGATCAATAAAAATAATTAGAGATGCCATTTGCTAACAGTATTACATTATCTACAGAAAACTATGGCTTAGTGTCCAAAGAAGGTTCAAACAAAGTTGATCCGTTGACTTGTTATGCAGACATACTTTCATGTGAAAAGCAACAATTTCTTGAACAAGTTCCATCAGATCATCAATGGGAGCCTCTTCACCCTGAAACAAAGAAAGTAAAGAAAGCAACAGTTACACTTCCTAATTAGTACAATAAAATTAAATATACGATCAGCATAAAGACAAGCATATTTATGTTATAATCTATTAATTAGGTCAGGAAAAAAAAAAAGTTATTGCATATTCGAATAGAATTGTCACTACCTGCCGCTTGGTGTATTCCTGAGCAATCTCTCCAGCCAAGTTCCTGAGGTTACAATATATTTTAGGAAATAATGAGTATAATACAGATAATACCTTCTGACAAAGAACCATGTAATAAGTTGCACAAGAATATTGTACTAATCATGCGCTCACCTTACATACTCATGGCCCCATGAACCAATATCACCTTCTGAACCTAATAATCTGTATTTAAGGCTTTCCTGAGAAAGTTCGACAAGAAATTATTTATATTTAAGTGTGACTGCATAAGCCCACGCAATAGAGCAAGAATAAGGCATAAACACGAGACAGTAAGACACAGAGACATCAAAAACAGAGAAAATGCTCCATGCACATGATATTAAAACAAAGAAACAAAAGAAACACATGGCGATCAATATTAAGGAAAGCAAACAAACCCGTTCTCCCTCTGCAGACATTGTCAGTGCTAATACTGATAGTATGTCCGCCATGTATTTCTGCAATAGAGAAGCAAGTAGAGTTACATTTTTCTTATAGAAAAACCAAATCAATAGTGGATTATAATACTGAGAGTAAACCACCTTTAAATCCGAGTCTGCCATTGTTTCATAATAAGCTTTCAAAGTTCCATAATGTGGGCGAAGGAATTTTAGAGGCTTTGGAACAGAAGTCATGGAGCTTGTGGAGGTTCGAATTTCCTGCCTGGAATTATAAGTTATCAAATAAGTTCAAAATATGAAGGCCTTGAAGAAAATATGCACGATTCATAAACCTATCCAATCCGGTATATCAATCTATATCATAATTGCAAACATCCACGAGCAGGGTAAGATAGCTTTAAAGTAACGGTTTCTGTTTTAACTGAACTATAAATAAGAATGCGAACCTCATACTCTCAAGTGCAACTTTCTGCAACCCAGGATCGGGGTCCTGAACTCTCTCCACGTACAGCTCCAACTGTTGCTTCAAAGCCAGATCCTCTTCCGACTGTGCACGCAATAACCCATGTCAGATCAATACGCCACGTACTACAGGAAACATAAGAGGGAAAACTAACATCGCACATGAACTGATCTAAATATTCCCTCGCTTCAACTCATACTGCAAATAATCTCTTATAAGTAAAGAAACGACTTAAGCAAAGCTCAGTAGAAAATTTTCAGAGTACACTAAAAAAAGTTTACACCAAAGCCACCGTCCATCCAGTTCCAATTTGGGTGATTCTTCTGATTTCTTGGAAATCAGACAGAAACCAAGCCCTTAAGTAACAAAGAATTGAATGAACCATACCAGATCCTCCTCCTTCTTATCGTCCTTCTTCTTCGGGTCCTTCGATGGGACTTTCAAAGTGGCCTCCTCGCGCTGGGAGCTGTTACTGGCACCGCCGCCAGCAGAGCCATTTGGGTCACGCGCCATTGTGCAGAGAAGAAGACTAAAAGAATCAAAGCCCTCGAATGAGAGGGGAAGATCGAGCAGGAGGAAAATGAAGAATGCGAACAAAGGGAGTGAACAAAATCAGTAACAGGATTGGAAATGGAAGAAATTGTCCCGAATAACCTGGGATTGGATCGCCTGCAGAAGAATATAAACGAAGGGAGTTGCTTTTTCCTTTTCCTCCTGAGCAAGAAACTAAAATTGGGGTGTTAGAGGGGGTTTTCTCTGCTCCCGAGTCGGGTCGGTTTATATTCGATCTTAAAAAAATGGGCTTCATGAGGATATTCATAGGCCCAAATTGGTAAAAAAAAGCCCAAGATAGTCAAGCGGCCCGTTTTTATTGGACTCGTCTTTTGGGCTTTACTTGAGGCAGCCCATTAAAACATCGATGGTTCTCGTCTAATAAAGACTAAAAGCGAGAGAAGACGTGCAAATTCTGAGAGTTTTAGTTTGGGGAGGTTTTTATTATGTTATATATCAAATATATTAAAATATGTAACAATCCATCTAAATTCAATTTTATATTTCAAATTGACTTAGATTCACATTATTCTAATTCTCAATTTTATATTTCAATTTTATTAAAAATATTTAAGATAGTTATTACAATTTATTTTATTTAATGTATGCTGATACTTTTTTTTTTTAGATGAATTTCAAAATTAACTTGGAAATTCAAAATTTATTTTATTTTTTATTCTATAATATCATTTATTTCAATTTTTACTTTTTTTTTTTTTTTTTCATTAAGGAAATAACATTTTACATGTCCATAGTCCAAAATAACACACTTTTTTCCACAAAAATTTTCCAATATCATCCAAGCTGGTTGGAGCCCAGCTAGGCATCCAAGTATTGCTATACCTGTTTTCATATGTTAAACAACATTCAAACACCAAGAACATTGATTCAAGTTGTGCGAAAACAATCACAACTCAAAAGATGAACACTAAAATCACACACAAACAATAATTTTTTAAAAAAAAACCTCCATAAATTCAGGGGTTCAAGTTTAAGTTAAACCCTAAAATTCTCCCTATGCATCAAGGAAGAAATCCCTCACTCTTCTCGTACTCCTCCATGGAATCGAACTCGTTCGGATACTTCTTGCTTCCGTACGATTTGTTTTCTTCTCCGATTCCTGAGTTAATTTCGTGATAGTACCTTCCGTTCTCCATGAATCTGGTGTCGCTCATCCCTTGCTGCTCCGTCGGTTCGTATCGCCTCTTTCTGTAGCCATCGCCCTCGACATTGCTCTGGTACTGGTAATTTCTGACGCCGCTGTTCTCGAAATCGCTCTTGTATTCGGTATTTCTGTATTCATTATTGTTCTCGTGCTCGGAATTTCTGTATTCATTGTTGTTCTCGTACTCGGAATTTCTGTGTTCGTTGTTGTTCTCGTACTCAGAATTTTTGTGTTCATTGTTGTTCTCGTACTCGGAATTTCTGTGTTCGTTGTTGTTCTCGTCCTCGGAAGTTCTGTGCTCGTTGTCGTTCTCGTACTCGGAATTTCTGTATTCGTTGTTGTTCTCGTACTCGGAATTTCTGTGTTCATTGTTGTTCTCGTACTCGGAATTTCTGTGATCATTGTTGCTCTCGTACTCGGAATTTCTATATCCACTGTTCCCGTCGTTCCTGCTCTCGTATCTTTTAGGGCTTTCGAAATTGTCAGTGTGTAAATTCGTCTGATAGCCAGATTTGTGGGTCTTCTTGTCCTCACCGTCCTCCGCGAGAATCTCCTCTTCCACGTCTGTGATCGTCCGGCTACTTTCGCTGTCGTCTGCATCACTGCCGTACAGACCGTAAGCATTCTGCGATTCGTCGAAAAACGGCGCGGGAGCTGGCGTTGGCGCCAGAGATGGAGATATCTCAGGCGGAACAGAGACCGGCGCTGGGGAAAAGGCTACGGGAAGAACAACATCGCGATCAGCGTGGATAAATTTGCTGAAGAATTTGTTGACTCTGGCTTCGATTTGAACAGAGGAGAGAAGGAGGAAGATGAAGGGGAGATGCTTGAACGTAATTGAAGCGGCCATAGCCATGGAAGTGATCCTGATGCAATGCAGAGAGGAAGAAAAAGGTACGAAAATCTATGGTTTGCTATGGTTGAACTTATATATGGGATTTACGGGCGATGAATTATGCGGGGATTGAGGGAATTAGAAGAAGGGTGTGGGGCAGACGAAACATAATGGTAGTGGAAATATAGTGCACGCTGCATGTGCTGTGCACTTGAATGCCCACCATTACAGGCCTACCTAATTTTTCTGCCAAAAAGAAAAAAACACTAACGTTTATATCTAATTAATTAATTAATTAAAAATTTAGAATTCAATTACACCCTGATGCATATAAACTCGTTTATTACTTAAATATTTTTTAAAACATTTTTTTTAAAATTAATGAACTTTTTAAACACGTTTAAACTAGTTACGTCATTTCGACCGAACTTTCAAATAATAATAATAATAATAATAAAATTATCAAACTTAATCACGCAATATATATATATATTATAAAAAACTAAAAATAAAAATAAAAAACAAAAAGAATCTTCCACAGTCAAAAGGTGGCATTGTTTTTCCTTTAGTAGTTAAATTTGGTGGTGTAAACACTTTCTTGCTTTCTTATGGATAGTAGAAGAGATGGGTTTGAATTGGGCACCGAATCAATTACCAACAATGCCCTTTATCTTCTTTCAAATTACCCAATCAACCCATTATCTTTGGAGCGTGAAGTGCAATTAGATCCATTTTGAGGACGGGTTTTCAGGCATAATGGAGGGATTTGATTAGGGTCGAAACGAGTTCCAATGTATGCCAAAATGTCCAAACTAAGGCCGAAACAGGTAGCTAGTCATTCTTCTATACCACAAGCATAGTGACAACAATTAGTATGTACTCATTTAGTTGAGGTTAGAAGTTAAAATTCTTGCACATCACATTTGTTGCACTAAAAAAAACATTAATAATAGCTATACTCGAACAAAGGTAGGATGAATTTCAACTAGTTTGGGTAAAAAGGGGAAGGGAAAGGGTATGATGAATTGGAAGGGGAAGATTTAGGTTTAGGGCTTTGGAAGAATTGTTGAGTAAAGTTGAAGAAAATTCATTAAGGGATCCATGGCGTAATCATAGGAACAACAACGACAGCTCTTCTTTTTGTAACAGTTTGTGTTGGCTTTTCATTGATGAGGGAGGGGAAGAAACTCTTTGACTTTTTGCTTTATTTGTATTTGAATTCAAAACTCTACTTTTTAAGTTTGAAAATAAAGGCAAGTTTGGTGGATAAGGATTGCACAATGGACTTTGGGCTTTGGGCTTTGGGCCTTCTATGCGGATTAATAATTTGTCTGGACTGGGCCGGGCCGGAGTAACATGGGCCTTGCTTTGACAAAATGGAAACGGTAGAGCCACTTGTCCACCAATGAATCCTCATGATTTGGGCTTGGTCGAAGCCCAATAGACGAGGTTTAGAGACAAATTTGGTCTTGTTATTTCTTAATCATCTTAAATTCGACTAATGAATATAATTTGTTATATTTTTTGGTCAGATTCCCCATCGGAATTCATATTTCAACGACAGTCTCATAATTAGAAACATGATTTTCAGTTATTTTTTTTAATCTCTTAATTTTTGGTCGAGCCAACAAAATGGTTGAAAAGTTACCTTAATACCCTTCATGTTCATGCATTCATCGTGCCAAAAGTTTCCGTAGCTGAGATTTTAGGGTAATTTCTCATTCTATAAACCATACTGAATAACCCTAATCCAGATATTCCCTCCACACCCTTCCCACGTAAACAATAACAAAATATTTCCTCTATGTTCTTTTGGGCTAACCATTAACAAATGACAAAATAATGTAGGGACATAAATGTCTTTCCACTTGGTTGGGAAAGAGAGGGGTATAAATATCTTTTCACCTTTTTAATGAGGTTAAAAGAACCAGCATTTTGAAAATTAGCCCATTTTCATGAATGGAAACTAAAATGACCTATTTTTTGGAACTTGACACAAAGGTTGCCCAAAGATAATTTCTGGAAGTTTCTAAAGGTTTTGCTCAATCGGACAATCCGAGCTTCTAATGCGCAAAATCCCACCTCGATTCTTACAGAACATCATCGCCAGAAAGGAGGAGGTTCTGGAGAGGGAAAGTGAAGGGGGCAATGGGAATCGATTATTACAAGGTTTTACAAGTTGATCGGAATGCCAAAGATGATGATTTGAAGAAGGCTTACAGGAAGCTCGCTATGAAATGGCATCCTGATAAGAACCCAAATAACAAGAAAGAAGCCGAGGCTAAATTTAAGCAGATCTCTGAAGCTTATGAGGTTCGTCTTTCGTCACTTAATCCGAATAATAATCCAATGACTTTGTGTAGATCGATCTATCAGATTCTTAGACTCGACGGCGTTGAAATTTCATGGGGTTTGGTTGTTATGTCTTATCTTGAATGTCAATACCAATGGAATTCCTTCCTCTTCTTCTTTTTGTCTAAATCGCTGGATATCTCGGTTACCTTATGTTAGATTTGGCTCTTTTTCGATGTTGAATTTAGGTTCTTAGCGACCCACAGAAGAAAGAAATCTATGATCAATATGGTGAAGAGGGTTTAAAGGGTCAGGTGCCGCCGCCTGATGCTGGTGGTCCTGGTGGAGCTTCCTTCTTTCCCACCGGCGACCGGTCATCAACATTTAGATTCAATCCGCGAAATGCTGAAGATATTTATGCGGAATTTTTTGGGTCTTCGAACCCGTTTGGAGGAATGGGAGGGGGACCAAGATTTTCAAGTAGCATTTTTGGTGATGATATATTTACGTCTTTTAGAGAAGGTGGGGGAGGATCCATGAGCCAAGCTGCTTCTCGTAAAGCTCCTCCAATTGAGAACAAATTGCCTTGTAGCCTTGAAGATTTGTACAAAGGAACTACCAAGAAAATGAAAATATCTCGAGAAGTTTCAGACACGAGCGGGTAATCATCTTTCTTTGCTGCACTTCTACAGATTTGATTGCATTCCCTTGCGTGCTCAAACTTGGCTTCAATAGCTTCCATTAACTTGACTTCAGCTTTTGAAGAGTTTAAAAAGTATTGTTAGATTATCAGAATGGCTGCTCCTTTTCATTTTCCTAAATGGAATGTTGTTTGATAATGCATGTTTGTGTGGATATGCAATGTGTGGTCTTCAGCTTTAAGAATGCTACCATTTACTCTGGGATTGTTGCTATTCATCCCCTTGAATATTTGCTCTTGTGGGATGAGTTTGGCTAGTTGTCTGTTACCCTTGTGAACTGGTAAATTCATGTTTCCTGCTATGTAGGAAAAATAGTTTTTGTTTGGTGGATTTCGTGGATTGAATGTTCATTTTAAGCTGCATGTTCCCCCTCTGCTTCGCTGTATATACACTCATCCATTGCCCTCTCACTTTCTCTCGTTCGTTTTGTATGTACAGGAAGATTGTAACAGTGGAAGAGATCTTAACAATTGACATAAAACCAGGTTGGAAGAAAGGAACAAAGATCACATTTCCCGAGAAAGGGAACGAGCAGCCTAATGTAATACCTGCAGATCTTGTTTTCATTATCGACGAGAAGCCACACAGTGTGTTCACTCGCGATGGAAACGACCTAATTGTCACGCAAAAGATATCATTGGCCGAGGCGTTGACTGGTTACACTGTCCATCTCACCACCTTGGATGGGAGAAGTCAAACGATCCCGATCAACAATGTGATAAATCCAAGCTACGAGGAGGTCGTCCCAAGAGAAGGAATGCCTATGCAGAAAGATTCAACAAAGAAGGGGAACTTGAGAATTAAATTTAGCATCAAGTTCCCTTCAAGGCTGACTACGGAGCAGAAGGCTGGGATCAAGAAACTCTTGGGTCAGTAATATTATGATTTGTTGGCTTGGCTTTTCTGTAATCAACCCAGGAACCACTCATTGCGAATACAGTGTTTGAAAGTTTTGCTAAAATGGGTCCATCTTGTTTTTTGTATTTAAGCAACTTTTTTGTTCGTAAATATGTCTCCTTAGGGTAACTCCAAATTATTTCTTTACCTGAAATAAGTGAATGCTGGAGAGATCTGATTACGGAGATTCTGAACTTCTGTAGAACTATTTTAGTTATCTCATATCACACCCATTGAAAAGAGGGCGATGTACATTCATTGTGGCGGTGACAATAAAGCTATTAAAATGACAAAGTCTGTTCTTCTGTTAGAAAACGTACATATTCTTATTAATCATCAGCTTCCGCTTGCAAGATGAACAGGATGGTATTGTACAATGACACTGCATTAGTCCTTAGGTTGCTATCCACTTCCCGAACGTGGGCAAAACAGGGGGTGTTCCGACACTTCCATTTTCAGGATTGTGCCACAGCCTTAAATCCAACAAAGAACACAAATCCTGTTTCAGTTACTGTAATCTGAGGAGGCGGATTGTATCTCTTCGTCTGATACGATATTATCCTCTAAATTCCTGTTACTTTCTTCATTGTACTCCCCATTCGTACAATGTTCAACATAAAGATCTCGTTCCTCGTCCATGACATTACCCCTCCCTCCATCAGAAAGATCGTACTCTTTGTATTCTTCGTCCATGGTGTTACCCCTCTCTCCATCAGCAGAGAGATCATCCTCTCTGTCTTCATCCATTTCGTAACTTCGGCTAGTCGGTAGATAGCCAGCTTGCCAAGATCGAGCACGGTCATCTACCAGCATATCATCATATTCCACTCTACCACTGTTATCAATGGAAATCAACCTATGAGAAATGCTTGGACTTCCATCACTTCGTTGCAGCATCCTTATGTTCTGATCATCGTTCCATTCATGACTGTTGTCCAGAGATAATTTTGATGTTTCATTGATAGTTTCTTCAGGATGACCTCCCTCAGAGCCAAACTTGATCTTCCTTCCTGATTTTTGCCTGCTTCTAGCACTCCGACGACCGCGCCTAAATCCTCCCTGTTCTTCCACCTGTCCGTCCTCCCACATAAGCACCTGCCTTAATATTTTTCGGTTGTTGCCAGTACTCTTATCAGATACAGGCCTCATGCTATTGGTTCTTTTGTGTGATTTTGCACCTCTGATACGTCCATGTCCTCTTTTGCTACCTAGTTGTCCATAATCAGAGCTTGAGGGTCCAACCCCGCCATATATCAAGTTTGCTTCTTTGACATGATCATTTGAAATTACAGCAGTTGCAGAATCTGACAAGGGCTAAAAAAAATGAAAGAATGATGTCAGATCAGAACTAAATCAAACAAACTTAGAATGAGTTTTTACTCGTACTACCAATGAACTAAGTGTTAGGAGAATAATAAGCCATGTCAAGGTACTACACGAACTGTTGCAGGTATGGACGATGTGAACATGCACAAACAAGTTCTAAACACATTTAGGCCACACGGCCACAACAATGTGGCTAGTTAACTCGGTAATTGCTTCCCTATCTTGTATAAATGTAAATGTGAATGAAAAACTCAGACCCGCAAAGTTGCAAAACATGTATATAAAATTGTATTCCCTCTCCCTCTTGCATCCTTCTAGTAACCACATTTCAGATTTGTAAGTCTAAACGTATTCACGTTGTGTCCCGTGTCCATCCTTCTTAGAGAGGGACAATACTTTCTACCTCTATATCTCAATGAAGTTAAGAACGCACAATGACAAAAGCAGTCTATTTGATTTAGTCTAAATTCAGGACATGAACATGAAAGACTCACTTTTATGTCCATTGACCCCTGAGCTTGAGACTCAGCTTTCTGCTGCAGAATGTAGGAGAGGGAAGCGTCAAATTCCAAAAGCCTCAATGCCACAGCAGCCGTTGTAAGTGGTATCCATGGAAGAACTGGAACTGTTTCAGGGAAAGAACTATGACAAGTGTAACTTCCTGGTGGGTTGACGCAAGCCAACAATTCATAGGTGGTCTCATAGTTAGACCACATAAAGTCCCGCTTAATGCCATTCTCCAACAGAGTCAGAATCTGAAAGCAAGGATGTTAGGAAACAAATGCAAAAGATTAACTAAAGAAATACGGGGAAAATCCCTTGACAATTTTGTAAATCTTCAAGTATAGAACCAACCAACAAATATCAGAACCAAGACATCCGGAAAATGAGTACCATAACTAATAGTATAAAATGGAGGGGTGCCCAAGTAGGAGTCATATTGGTCGTGTTACAATGAGTCCCAATGAACAAGAAGCGAACCGTCACTCTTGTAGCATACACATACTCTCGAGATTGTTGAACTTCCTTACATCTTATAGTTGTGGTATAACGAAATAGTGCGTCATCTAACAAAAGGATTCGAGTGGGGGAATGGCACAGATGAAAAAGGGAAAAGGTGATCAAGTGCATTTAGATATTAACCTGAAGAACGTCCTCAGCAGAGGATGAAGACAGAAGTTTTGAACTCCAAGTTTTTCTTTCGAAATCTGTCCAGGATGGTTGAAAAGCTTCCCCTGGAATGGAAACCTGAGCCAAATAAGAAAAATGACAGTTGCACCATAAATGACAGTCAACATAAATAGTTTAAGCTACACTACAACTGAAGGGAACTCACCTCAATCAAAGTCAACAGCATCTTAAGTAATCTAATCCTCAAGGGGGAAGATGAACACCAAGATAGACCAATGTTCTCTATACGTTGGACCATGTGTTCAGGAAAATATAAGATGGAAGAACAACAGTGGTGGAAATTTTCAGAATAAATGAATTGATAAGATCTCAAATACCTAGTAATTGTGTGCCCTGCTTCTTTCCATATTTGTTAGCGGATAGAACTGAAAGACTGAAGCACTCTCTCCTCATCCAGCTCTCGAAATCAAGGTATCTCTTTAATGATTCGGTCGTATCTGAACCAGTTTCTTCAGCCTCACTTCTGAAGGATGTTGAACTTTCAAATCCATCATGGTTATCTGCATATACAGTACTACTAGGACCATTATTACGAGCATTGCAATGATGGCCAGCAGCATCTTCACCCGTCCTCTGGCCATCTGTCAGTATATTCCCCCTAGTAGCTGTTTTAAAAGATTTTTCTAATTTTTGTAGCATGAGATGCAAATGAGATTCCTTGATCCCACGAACATCCAAAGAAGCTAAGAGAGCATCAAATCCCTGCATGGACATCCAACAGTTCGATAACAATCAACAAACAGAGAACCTTAGCCACGCTTTCAATCTTCAATATATGTGATGAACAATGGATCGCGATATCTGAATTTATAGTTAATTGAGATCATCCTAATGAGACTTTCTTTTTTTTGGGATGATATCGGACAATGCAGAAGCTAGTGAAATTTTGCTTCACATTCACTTGAATTTTAGTTAAGAGTGGCATCAAAACTTTAGTTAAAACATTAGTTATGTTACATGTAAGAATTTGACATATAATACCTTAGCAGAATCGATAAGCCTCCAAGTCCCGTTATGCAACTCAACAAAAATTCTGCCATTACCAGGCTCATTTCGAGAAGCAGATGAAGTAAATTGCCAGTATCGATTACGCCTTCGATCCTGACCAAGAGGTAAAGACCTATACACATACATCTCTTCTGCTTTGTGTCCAATATAAGATTTCACTTGTGACCTTGACTTTTCAACCGCTACTACTGAATGTTGAAGCTGTGAATTATCTGCCTCAACAAGTACATCTTGCACTTGCAGTCCGTCCGAGGGGCAATTATTATGTGAACTATGACAGTCCTCTTGCTGAAAACCAGTGTCTAATGGTCCTTCTCTATTTTCTTCCCCAATATTTAGAATTGCACTGAGCCTTGTTGCATCCAATGACGACATAGTTTTAAATTCAGACTTGTTTCCCACACTCAAAGAGTCATGGATCTGCAAGACGTACTCTTCTTTGACGCGTCGCTTGTCAATTTGCGCCTCTGCCAACATTTGCTTCTTCAAACTATTTGCAGCCTCTAGACGCTCCTGTAAGACATGGAATCCATAAGATGAAAGAAACAAAAGGACTGAAGGCGTTTTTATCAAGTTATGTCGAAAGTGCAGCAGAGACATACTTCAAGGATGGTTCGCATTGAGTTTCCTTCAAGTGCCACTCCAATTAATGAACATAGTGCATTAAGTCGCTCCTCAATGCTAAGATCAGAATACTCTCCCTCAGTAAGACCCTGGACCCAAGGTTCGCCATGATCACCTTCATCAGAAGTTGAATCTTCTTGATATTGACCGGTGCAAATTCCAGAAATAAAAATAGGTTGTTCAACGGGAGGACTTTCTTCCCCCTTTACCCTACCTTTGATGTCCAGGATAGATGTATAAGGACCACCATTCTCCATACCGACTTTACAAATATCTCTAATCTCATTACATCCATTTCCACTTGCAACAGAAGTCATTTCATCTAGAGGGCATACTTCAGGACTTTGATGTTCTTTTGTTAAATTTCCTCCAGTGCCCAAATCATGAACTTCAGCATCCTCAGGAACATCAACTTCTGAGCCATCATCTCTTTCAGCATCGTCACCATCCAAAATCCCGCTTTTGAATGTGCGAATTCTCTCCCTTGCAGTAGAAAGTATGGCATCTGCATCGCCAGGGTCTTTCCTATAGGGAGAGCGGACACAATACGTTGAAGGAGCAGTCCTTTCAAATAATTTTGAGTCTCTAGACAATGCAGCAGCAATAGAAGCTTCTGGTGTCCTGCTTGTTGTAAGATCCCGAAGTCCAGATTTCTTGAAAAGAGACAGCAAATTAATAGCGTAAACATTAGAAAGGATAAATTTCAGACGTTTAATTTTCACCAAGTACCTGAATTTTATTTGCAACTTCAACAATATTAAGACCTTTGCTTCCTTCAAGAGAAAGAACATGGAAAGCTGCAAATTTTACAGTTCCAGGAGTCAACCGATGCCTAGATTTGCGTTGATTGGAGAATCCCCTTTCTTGCATTATAGCAACAGCTTTTTCTGCAGCCAAACCATTGCGTAAATTTGAAATGATGTCTGCAACATCATTACCCTGCTTCACAAGGAGCAAGAGAAAATAGAAATAGGAAACCTTTTTAATAAAAAAAAAAATTAACAGTATTCTTTTTTCACCTGATAAGAGATCATATGTTAAACAGAGACAATAAAAGAAAACAAAGCCTAGAGATCTAGGAAAGAGTGACTCTAGCTAAAGAACCTGAATAAAAAACACAATTAACGTTGATCAAGAAAAATTATTTTAACAAATCTTAGGAGGGGCACTGCCACTTGGGGCTGTGAATGTACAAAGTTACAAACTAAGAAAAAAGTATGTTCCACCTCGAAAATTAGATAAGCTTGTTCTATGCCATTGTAAATGAAATCAATTTGTAGGTCAAACTGTGATCCTGATATGCTGGATTAATGCTTCATACCCAAAAATGACATAAAATAGAAAAAGCATTCAACTGTATATTCACATCATATCCCCTATCACAATCAAGGAAGAAAATCTTGATGAAAACTTAAAATAAATAGTCAGCAGCTTTCACATTCTTCAAAGCTGGGCAAAAGAATTTCACCTCATTTTCATCATGATGTGCTGGTTCAGCATTCCCCCCTTTCCTCTGTTGAGGACCTAACCCACCTGATAAGGCCAACTGTCTAAGTATCTCAGGCCATGTTAAAGGATTTAAATGTTGCTGCCAGCTGCATATGTCAAAACCCCAAGCATATGCCTGATATAGAGTGCCAACAACGCAACTTGATGATGAACAAAGAACCATATTAGAAACATGGGTAAACTTTAAGAGTAGTAATAACCACCAAGGAGCCTCACCCCTTCAACTATTCGCAGATGGCCACCTCCAGGGTTGGCACCACTACTCTGATTGAATCCTAGACCTATAGAGGAGGTTCTAGCAACATCCTCAATATCTTTTATGATGCATTTCAGAACAGCAATGTGTACTTCACCTAATAACCTTGAGTCCTGAAATATTGTAGGGCAATAAATGATGAGTATCACAAGGCAGATTCAAAAGTCGGGTTATAGATCAAGAAAGTTTTAAGACAAGAACTTACGTGATCATGAAAAGCTTGAAGAAACTCATCAAGAGTAAAAGGCCAAAGGCCAAGAACATCAGCAAAAGTAACCAAGAACTTCCACGCCTAGAAATACACATAACAGTTCAGCATTCATATAATAGATCATTTTCGAACAGTTTCTTCAATGGCAATATATGCCTCCCAGCCAGAGGGAACAGAATACTCTCAATCAATGCTAAAAGAATGAAAACAAATAGAAAACCTAATAAATCTTACCATGAGAAGGTTTCCCACATTCGCTTCAGATTCAATCCAAGGATGATCTGGAAAAGGCCTTTTCATTTGCACAGATTCAGGTGGAAAGTTTGGCCGCATATCTACATGCAACTTATGTCAATAGCTAAGTTGCTGACTAATGAAAAGAAGTTGAAAAATGGTCACTTCGTGCAAGGGAAAGAACATTCTTGATAGTCAATGAATTTAAACAATCATGGAAGTTAATAGAAACATAAACCTTTAAATAACTCCAGATTTTCTAAAGTTTCTTGATCAAGAGACATTATTGAAGGTAATCCCTTGCTTGACACAGCTAACTCCATGAGTTCCAGGCGTTCATCCTCAGCAAGTTCTGTTGATTCCTTAGCCATCTGGCGAGCAGCGGCCCTCTGATTGGCAGCTTTAAGCCTTGCTGCTTCTCTTTCCCTGCGCAGTGCTTCTTTCTGTCTAATTCTCTCAGCCTAAATATATATACATTTTGGGGAAGTAAATCACTTAATTAATAAAACAAGAAGAATACAATTAGCTATGGGCCACCAAACTGACTCTAATGGACTCTCTATGCAAGAACTTCTCTCTCCTCAACATTTCACGCCTTTGCTCCCTTAGGCATCTTTCTTCCTCCTTTTGCTTCTCACGCAACAGTCTTTCTTCTTCCCTTCGCCTTTCTCGGTCATGCCTTTCCATTTCTTTCCTTATCTGCTCTTCTCTCTAGAGAGAGAGAGAGAGGGAAAAAAAAAAGGATGAGTTTCCACAAGAAACATGTAAGGTATAATTCACAAAAGATAAATATAAGACCTTTCTCCTCAGAGCATCTTGTTTCTCTAGTTCTTTCTGCATCTTTTTCTCATGAGCTTCAACTTCCCGTGCTATTCTGGCCTCATCATTCTTGTTGAAACAAATACAGAAATAAATTTTTATTTGTAAAAACTATAAAATTATAACATCTTCACTATACCTTGCTCTTCTTTTCAATCCATACAACATTGTTTCCACGAACGACCCTCTTATCAGATAGAACGGATGTAAATTCTGGATGAGAAGTTGAGTGAGTGCCATATAGAGGATTCATAGAAATATTTACAAGAGAACTCCTGCATAAACTATTATCATGCTCGCCCATGGAAGATACTAAGTTGTGGCTCCGTCTGCTTTGCTGAGCAACTATATTCAGGTTGGGCATCTGAACTTGAGAACAATAGCTGGAGGACATTTGTTCATGTCCATGCAAAAATGAGTGTCCAGAAGCCATCGGCAGAGTCCTGCTGATACTATGAACATTTGCATGAGTACCATAATGGTAAGATGAGATATCTCTCTCGTGTTCATCAGATTTTGCAGTTGGCTGTTCTGGAAGAAACTGGTATTCGTGCAGAGTCCTCCCAGACATCTGATGATGCTATGAAATAAAAAGGACAAAGGAAAGACACCGTTTTAGCTTCATTTCAGAGCAAAAGAGTGATAATATGTGAATGAAAGAAGGAAGACTGACCTCAATCTGCTCTATATCTCTTTGCTTACTAACCTCAAAAAACTGTCCGGTTTTCTTCTCATCATCACTGAAAGCAGTGACTCCTATAGCAACATGAAACACTCACTCAAGTGTCTGAAAACAATAGTATTTACTTGCAAAAACACAAACAGCAGTAAACACAACGACCCTTAAACAGATTATCCAAAATTCCTAAAGAACAACTGAAATCATGGGTTGTTTGTACAAATAATCAATCTTACCTATCGGTGCCCCGAATGCCCCTGGTGGCAGAGGGTCAAACTCCATGCCAAGAATTGGTCCATCCTCCCTCAAAGCTTCTCCTAGCTGAGCCTCTACTAAAGCAATGGCCCGGAGCTCTGCAATAGACTGCTGCGACTCATAGAACCTGTTCATTGAAGGTAAGTTAAGGCCAATCCTCGCAACAGCCACTCCAGGCCTCACGTCCACTGGATGAGCATATGCATTTGACCCTTTCCCCAATCCTGAAGTGCTCTCATTCTTCTCACCACTTCCCCCAACTGGGTTCACATCTGCAGCTACCGTCATGGTTGGAGAAGGCATCCTTGGTCGCTTAACTGGTGGCGGCTTCCGGTCCTTCAACCTCCGGTGACAGAACCACATCTGTAATTGCCTATCCGACAATCCCAGCTTCACCGACAACTCAGCTCGTAGTGCTTCCGATGGATAAGGCTCCCCTACATCAACATCAAAACAAATGCAATTCACAATAAACTCAACAAAGGAACAACCTCCATTCGTTCATTCCACAGAGAAAAGGAGTTATAACAAAGAAACCACACACCCATATAAGCCTTCTCAAGAATTTCCAATTGCGAAGCAGTCTTCATTTTCCTTTTGATCTTCGTCGCCTCCACAGGTGGTGGTGGCTTCTTCTCTCCCTCAGAACTAACCTCCATTGTCAACAAGACAAAGCTCCAATCCTCCCCCAACCCACCCAGAAAGCCCAAAATAACAAAACAGGCAAACCCAAGTTACCACCACACAATACTCAATCTCTCACCCATTAAATTCATTTCAGACCCGAAAAAGGAAAAATCCCAGAGAATCACGGCAAGTGCAAACAAAAGAGAAAAAGAAGAAGAGGGTAGAAGAAGCAGAGAGCTACATATCTTTTGGTGATCTTAGAGCATTCTCTCCCATTAAAGAATAATGGAATTAGGTTTTGACGGAAGGTTTCGTTCCATCAAGAGTGATAGATAGACGTCTCTCTCTCTCTCTCTAGGGAGAATCAAAACAAGAGAAGCAAGTGCGACTGAGATGTGGGCATGAGTGGAAACGAACAAAAAATGGAAAAGAAAAAAAGGAAAAAAAGGGAAATAGAACCCAAAATCAAACAGTAGTGAAAGCATAGGAAGCAGCAGTAGCAGTAGCAGAAGAGGCAGTGTGGCGAGTCAGAAAAAATTTCTCGCCATTGAAATTGATGTTGGAACTGAGATGAATAAAAATATAATAAGCGAACCCAGTTTGATTTAAGGATTAAATACAGAGAAGAAGAAGGAAAACAAAAACATTTGCCATTGCAATGCCTGTGATGATGAACCCAGCTCTCTGTAATCACAGTCATATTTTATTTTTGTTTTTGTTTTCTTTTTGAACTTTAGTAAGAATTAAAGTGGGAAATCGATGGGGTTTAGGATTTTAAATGCTGGGGTTTTAGAGGATTTTTTTCTTTTTTTTTTCTTTTTTTTTTTGATTTCGAAGAAGGGGATGGTGGTGTTTTGGTGTCAGATCAGATGCGACGTTAAGCACAATCTTTTGGGTGAGAGATTTTCTTATTTTTCTTTTTTATTTTTTATTTATTCAGCAACAGACCTTCTTCCGCTTTCTTTTGGGCTTTGGATTGGACTCTTTTTGGGCTTTCGGTGTCCTTTAAGCCCATTATGCTTGTTTCTTTTTACAAAATTCTCTATTTATTTTTATTTATTTTATTTAAGTGTTTGGCAGAAATTATTTTTTTATTAATATTCAACCAACTTTTAAACTCTCGAATGAAAATAAAAAGGGTTCTGATTTATTTATTTTTTTAATAATACCCCTATCGAGAGGCTGATATAGAGAGGCTGATATGGTCGAATACATTTTCATTTAAGGCGAGTTTTCACGGTGGGACCCTATTCATCTGTTTGGACTTCTATTGAATCGAGAAATAGGTTTGATTGTCTATATAATAGTAAGGCATCTTCTGGATAATTCATACATCACACTAGATAGATATCATATTTATGGCAAAAACATATCAGCCTAATTTAGAGAATGATACTCATTTACTGTGGACCATAATGAACTAAATTAATTCATGAGATTAAACCTTAATGAAATTAATTAATTATTTTAGCTATGATCTTGAAATCAAAAGGTTGATAAAAGAAAATAAATAATCAAAATTTGAGTGGTAGAAAAAATTACAAGAAAAAGAAAAACGAAAATCAAAGCATGCTGACAAGGCAGCACACACTTATCCTCAAATCAACTCCTATGATTCTAAACTCTTAAAAAAGAAGGCTAATGGCAATCAAACCAAATCCCAAAACCAATCCCAATCCGACGCCGTTCCTCACACCACCATCCGTCTCATCCGACGGCGGATTGGCGGCGTCAGATTCCGGCGGGTTTCCCTCGTCAGGAGAATTATCGGCCCTTGGACCTGGAGCTCTTGGAGGCGGTACGCCGGCGTGTTTCCCAAAAAGAGCGTCAGGCAACAAAACTTGATCCACTACGTAAACACCCAACGGAGATTTCTCCCTGAGCTTATTGTTGATCTCCACCGTAACCACGCCTGTGGATACATTGACTTGGTTAGAATTCGGTTGGCCGGTGAAGTTCAGCCCCCAGTCTCCGGCGAGTGTCCTCATCGGGTTGCTAACGGTCTGCAGATCCGTCACGGTGAAGAACTGCATCAAATTCAAACCCAAATAGGATTATTATCGTAACTTACCCTCCACAATGATATCATTGATATTGTCCACTTTGAGTTTCCAAGATATATTCTACCCATGTAAATAGTATTACTCAAACTTATAGATCCATAATCTTCCACTAAAGTAACAACTCCCTCTTAATAATCCTCAAATATATATATAAATATATATATACCTTACTCAAGACATGGAAGAGGAGAAGCTGGCTCTTCTGCTGGTCGTTGAGGCTGTTGAGGGTGCCGGATTTAAGGGCGTTGAAGCCATTATCAGAGGGAGCAAGAATGGTCATGCCCTCATGCGAGTTGTCGAGCTGATTCTCGAGCTGAGAGATCAGGTTGCTTTCGCCGAGGAGGCGAAGGAAGGTGCTGAATTGGCCGCCTTCGGCCAGAATGCCGGTTATGTTGATCGGAGCTTGGGCGAGAGTTTGAGAGAACAGAACAAAGGGTAGGAGGAGGAGGGGAAGCGCGGTGGAGGCCATGGCTAATGAGTTAATGAGAGTAGTGATGGAACTGGAGGTTTCTGCTGCTGTTTATAAAGGAGGGGAGTTGGAATTTGATTGGTTGGAAATGAGCTGGATTTATGGTGACAGCTCAGATCTCGACGGAAAAGTTGGGATGATCGGAAAAAGTCTACGGCGTAATGCGTCAAACCTCTCAAACAAATCTAAATGCATTAGGAAAAATGAAATTATTTTATTTTATTTTAATTCTTTAGTGATTTTTGGTTTTCTCTTAATTTTGTATAAAAGATGGGCATGTGATGAATCATAGGTTGAGTCGTTACAAATGGTATTAGAGCAATAACTCTCCCACTAATATGTAGTTTAAGAACGAACCAAGAGGAAAGTTGGTGGGCATATAACACCTAAATAAACAAGAGGTACATAAATGAACTGATCCATATTTGAATGATAATGATTAATAATGATTAAAATATCATTTTTTTCTTACAAAAATGCATCATAAATATATGAAATTTTATTTTTAGAAATGTCAGGGTTTTTTTTTTAACAAGCTGCATGTTTTGACTTTCTCTTTTTGATTTTAGACTTATTAAATATAAATTTAAAAATCTATTAAACATTTTTTAAAATTAAAAGACTTAAATATCACCCCTTTTAATGAAAAATGAAGAGATAAATTTTGAAATCTTATCTGAACGTTATAATTGTGATAAATTTGTATAAAAATACTACTATGAACCAAGACATCTCAAGCATATACTGTAAACTATATTAAAGTTAACTCAAGTTGCAATTAATTTTACGTTCAAGAATAATCAAGTTTTCATTATGCTTCAAGTAAGGTCGGATAAGAGTTTTATTTTGAGGTTATATAAAGTCATGCATGCTATTAGATAGTTGTTCTTATATATTTAGAACCATTCAAGTTTGTCATTCAACTAGCCATGATTAGAGATGTCTATAGGGCAGGACGAGGGGTGGGATAGAGAAATCCTCGTCTCCACAAAAAAAAATTGTATTTTTTTTTATGGGATTAGGGTAGAGATTCCCCCCTGAGAAATTAGGTGGGACAGAGATGGAGAATTTAATCATCGTCCCCATATCCTCGTTTATCTCAGGAGGAGAAATATCTCTCCACTCCCTCCTCCAATATTCGAGATTCCTCACCCGGTTCGGGAAGGTTACAAACATTATATTTGCTTTGGTATAGAATATAGTTTTTTTATTTTTCTAAATTTATAATTTTATTTTCCTAAAAGAATTTCCATTGTGACAGTTAAAACAAAACTATTCATACATGGTGAAAAAGAAATCTTAAAAATAGTTTGTTCTTGTAACGGGGGGTTTTGGCATGTGAGCTGCATTGGCCTGCCCTCAATCCATGATCTTCCTTCGACGACACCTCAAAACGGTGTTGTCTTCAACAATCTCCCCAATGCCAAGCAATCCATTTTCCGTTCCATTATAAAATCCTCTCTACCTCCTTCTCTTTCTTCTTCCTCCAGATCCTCTCGACGTTCATAATTCTTCTGTAATTCCAACAGCTTTAAAGATCCATATTGGCGGTGGTGGATGGCAAAAACCAACAAATACACCTCCATCAATTACAATCACATCTACGACAAGGATCTCTCCCCCAATTCCAAAACTGGCAACAATCCCTCCAAAAACCCATCTTCTTCTTCTTCTTCTTCTTCCTCCTCTTTCGCTTCTGCAACTTATTCTTCCATTTCTTCCGCTAACAAGTCCCATGGCCGCATGCTCGTCCTGACCCGTCCCACTCCCAAACCCATCTCTTCGCTGCCGGTCCTGTCCCCTCAGCCTCAATCTCGATCCCCATCTGCCGATCCTCGTCCTGTTGCGGATCAGACCCATCCGCAATGCGAATCCGATTCCATCTCTCTTCGCCCTCTCGGTCGGACAGGTACGGGCGCGATCGCTCCGTCTCCGATTCCGAACTTGGAGAAGGACAAGGAGATTCCTCCTCCGACTGTTACGTTGCATAAACCGGAGAAATTTGTGCCGCCTCACCTCAGGGCGGGCTTCGTCGGGAAGGAGGAGAGACCTGTGAACGTTGGGATCCGATCTAGGGAGGCGAATCAGAGGCAGTATGGGAATTACGGGTCTCCGGGTCGGTACGGTGAAGATGGGCGGCCGAAATCCGGCGGTGCAAATGAGAGAATGAACGGGGCGGGAGAGGCAGATCAGGGGGAGATGGTGAATCGACCAAGATCCAGTGGCAATCGCCCGAATTCTAGTGGATGGTATGTTTCTCTCAAATACCATCAACGTGTAGTTAACTGTAGTTGCAATTGAAAACTAATTTTGGCCCTGCATTTTGGGTATGGAATTGCCTTCTGTGGATGCCCTGTTACCATTGAACTGAGATGCTGTTGTGGCTTTTTGAGTTTATTACGAGATTCTCTTGATGTAGTTGACTGTCTAAAGATGAATCAATTCATTTATAATCTCGTGAGTAAATTATAGAGTAGATGGCTCCTTTTGTCTCAATGAATTGGGATTAGGACACTTCCTGGCACTGCATTATAAGGTATGGAATTGCCTTATTTGGATGCCCTTTTACCATGGCACTGCATTATGAGTTTGATTTTTATGAGATTCTCTTGATTTTGAAAGGCTCTGTGGAGATGAATCAATCCATTTCATGGCTCCTTTTTTGGGTCTCTGTATTTAGACTTCTAAGTGTTGGCCTATAAGATGTAAAAGTTTCTTAGGATAGTTTGAAGGTTTGGTTTGACCTGTTAGATGAACACGACTCTCTATAATGGTATGACATTGTCCACTTTGAGCATAAGCTCTCGTGGTTGCTTTGGGCTTCCCCAAAATGCCTCGTACCAGTGGAGATAGTATTCCTCACTTATAAACCCACGATAATTTTCTAAATTAGTCGACGTGGGACTTTCATCCTCCAACATGACCTATTGGAGACGCATAATACAAAATCCATAATTTTCTACCAGGAAAATGTAGAAGCCTCCAAAAGAACGGCCCAAATAGACCATCTTGCTTATCTCCCAGCACAGCCATCTCATTTTCAGACTTCTTGATTGCATGCTACACGTAATCTCCCAAATCCAAATAACATCACATCATATTCTATTCCTTTGATGACACGACGCAAGGAAAACAATCAAACACAGCCCCAAAAGTTCATCTTGCTTTTGCTTTACTTGTTTGTGTTCATATCATTAATTTCCTGTTGTAAACATTGCTTTCATTCAATTTGTATTCTCACTGAATTTATGTTGGCGACGAATAGTGCTTCAAGGGATTCATTCTGAAGTTGGATACTTTTCCAAGGATGAAGATGGATCACGTCGTCGAAGTTTTTACTTTTTAGAATTGTTTGCCATGGAAGATAAACGGACACCACACCAAGGTGACAGGATCTCAACAATGAAGTGACGTACTTCAGATTCAGATTGTTATACCTCAAGGAAACTATGTTTCTTTGGCTTCTTCACCCTTCTTCTGCATTCCTGGAGAGGGATGGAAGCTCGTTTGGAATGTAGAACTGACCGGTGTTATGTATTGTCGTCATTTTCGTCGTCGTAGTTGTTTAACTGCTTTTAGATCAGGGTTAGCATCTTGTGTGGAGGATGCTGCTGTGTTTTTCATTTTTCATCTCACAGTTTGTAAAACAAAGTTTCTTCTGGTGTGTGAGGATGTTAGGTTTCTTTGAGCTTGTTGTGGTCTATCAGTACATTTCATTGTTGAATTCTTTCTAGAGATGATTAATGAAATGGCCATTCTAATGCAACCCCAGCTACAAATAACATGCGAGAAAGCAAGCCAACAAACGAATCAGACCTCTACTTTGCTTTTTGATTTCTCCAAAAGGCCCCATACCAACGGAGACATGATCTTCTTAATTAGCCAATATAAGACTCCTATCCTAACAATCTTCAACCATTTCTTTTCATATTCTCGATGAGAAGAAGGCTTTCTAGAAATCCTTTTATTCAATTAAACTTTCAAATTCAAATACACATAAAGTTGCTCGAGACTCCTATTAGCCAAAAGGGTAATCGAAGAAACCTTTTATTAGTGAAACGGGTAATTGAAGAAACCTTAGATAAGGGTCGGTAGACAATACCCTCATGGGTAAATTTCTATCAGAGACCTCAAACCCAGTATGGGAAAGATATTGTAGCCACTGAATCCAGCTTCCTTGAATGCTTCACTCCACTCCTTCTCATCTCTCTCTCTTCCATTTACCAAACTCATCATCTCCATGTCGAAGCATAACTGAGATTGAATGAACGTATCCTCCAGCTTGCTGCCTACCACCATATCAATTACGATCACCTTCCCTTTCTTTCCATTGCTTGTGATTGCTGCTTTGCAATTCTTTAATATCTTCACACAATCTTCATCATTCCAATCATGTAATATCCACTAATTTCATGCACATATACAAATACCATCAAATCTAATACTAATTCAATGTATTGAAGCTTTTGAAGTAGAAACAAGACAAATTAAGTTTACCTTCAACACAAGAACATCGGCAGGAGGGATAGCTTTAAACATATCTCCTTCAACATATCTTAAGTTCCCTTCACCTTTCAACTCACCCACCACTTGGGGAAGATCAAACACTGTGCATTCAATTTGTGGGAAAGCCTCTGCAATGGCTTTGGCCACTGTTCCAGTGCCGCCACCTATATCAACTAGCGAGGCAACTCCATCAAAGACTCCTTTATGTTTGTCCAACAACAAACTCATCACCAACCTTGCATCACTCGCCATGCCTGAATTAAAAATGTCACCATCTTTCGGCTTACTGCCCATGAACTCCCAAAACGACATTCCATGAGCCATATCGAATGGCGTTCGGTCTTTGCTTTTGAACCAGACAGAGAGGAGATGCCATGGTTCCACGAGGGCTGGTTGGAGTAGGGAAAGTAAGAAAGGTGCTACACCACAAGGATTGTGTTTAAGAAGAAGACGAGATGAATTGGTTAGGACATATCCTTCCTCTTCTTCGCCACTATTTTTGGGCAGTTTTTGTAGGACAAAGAAGCCAGAGTGAGTCAATAGACGCATTAAGCGATATATGAAGTGAGTCTTATTCGGATGGAGTTGGAGGGCTGAAACAAGACGAGAGAGAGGCATAGGGCGAGGGGCATGGTGGTGGATGGCGTCTGGTATGCCTAGTTCAACTGCGCATTTGAGAGTCATGGAGTTGATGAAGTTGAGGAGGTGGTTCCATATGTGGGCTTGCGCTTCCAGCAGCTCTTCGCCTGCAACTATTGGCAACATCTTTTCACCCTCAATATTCATATCCACAACCTACAAGAAAGAAAGATCGAGTGTAAGAAGTTCAGGTTAGAGGTCGTGTATTTATTAACAAGACAAACATATGAGTGTACTATGTTAATTTAGTAGCGTGCTATAAAGTCTAAATTAATAAATAATTTTAAAGGATATTTTTGAGACAAACTAAGGTATTTTTATGAATTTAACATAAATAAAATAATAATAATAAAGAAGAAATAATATTTAAAAAAAAAGGAAACATGAAACATTTATTTTCATAAAGATTTCCGTATTAAGTTATTTTTGTGTGGTTAAGGTTGGCTACAAAGAAAAAAGTGCACCAACTCTTAACGATGGCGACTATTTCTAGAGTTTTATTTTTTTATTTTTATCTTCTTTAAGAAAAAAACTAATTTTGATGCTTAATTCACCAATTTTACCAGTACAATTATTATTATTATTATTTAGAAATTCTAACTTTGGTTCAAATTGAGATTTCAAGCGAGTTTTCTAGAAAAAAAAAAAAAAAAAAATTACTTGGGGAAGGATGGAATCGAGTAAGGGTGGCATCCATACCGTACAGAACACTCACATAAATTCAGTACAAAAATAGAAACACTAACTACTAAAGAAAAACAATGCATACTACTATACTATGGTCATTCTAGCTCCATCGTCAATCGTGCTAGGGCATATAGCTTGAGTATTTTAAGAAAACTCAATAAGTAACCTCAGTATTGGGGTCAGGTAATGCAAACACACACATACATGATATGATCTATCTTTTTAAAATAACATAACATGGTATTGAGCTCCTTCTAGTCCCAGCATGATTAGGTATGTGGTACTTCCCACACATGTGCACATGGACCCATTAGATGGGTTCGTATATGAACCCACTGAGCTTGACTTGTTGGGCTAAATGCATTGACGATTCATCGGACACCACGAAAGGAAAAGCCAAAATATCATGTTGAACATAGATATTGAAGGTACGCATCTATACTAATATAACATAATGGGAAAAAAGTATATGATGCATCTAATATACATAATTGCATGAGGTTCCATATCTTAAAATCATAGCATATAATAAGAATCACTCTCCTTCTATTCATGTCATAGTACACATATGAGTAATGTATGCACATTACTCTCCATAATTTTCATCATACATCATCACGTTATAATATAATCTATAACATAGCTATTAATGGCATGACATAGCATTTCATATCATACATTATCATGACATAATAGGGCATCACATACATACATAGTATAGTATGTAGCTTGTGCTCTTCTTTAACCGATGACTAAGTTTATTTGCAATTCTATGTAGTTTATGTTGCATTTAGAATCATTCAAGTTTGACATGATCAATCTTGCTTGTGGAGTGATTCGAATCTCAAACAAGTGTTCGTGCATCGAGATATTTGATCAACAAAAAACATTCAAGCTAGACATGATCGATCTTGCCTGTGGAGTGATTCGAATCGCAAACAATGTTTTTACCTTGAGATATTCGATCAATAAGATAATCAAAATCTTACACACCTAGTAGTGATTTCCACGTATCACTATCTTTATTAACAACTAAACTTCTTGAACAAACTAAAAGTAAAATGGTATTCTATAATTGTGAAAATGATATAAAGAAAAAAAAAACGTATAATGAATTAACACGAGAAACTCATGTGAGTGATAGATAGGACGAATGGTACAAAGGTCCAGCTAGTTAATCATCTTTATAGTAGTACAAAGGTCCAACTAGAGGTAACATCAACGAGGGAAAAAAGGCATAAATTACCAATATGGTCGCTGTCACACATTTTATGAAGTATTGGTATAAAGAAGGGATGATTTTTAGAACATTTTGAAATTTACATTTTCACAATATTGATTCCTCCCATGTTTTAAAGAGTGAGCTCAAACTTGAAATCAATTAAGCACATGATAGTTATTTTCGGTGCAGTCATAGACTTAGATGCACCAACTAGCCCGCCCGCCTTCTTTTCCAGCTGAGTCCGTAACTGTACTAATGCATGGCCAAACAAACACTCCACTGGACTAAGATGTAAATTGAATTCATTGTAATATATTGTCATAATACATAATATGAGTTATTATATCGCCTAATGTATGGACTAGTATAGTCACAACATAACAACATATCATAATATGACATATCTTAGCGTAATGTAGCATAACACATGCAAAACAATCATAATCGTGAAACAATTTGTCCATCCAAATCAATAATAGAACTACTACCTCGGTTGGTCCAAAAGGGATAATTTGCAAAAGAGTAGCTGTACTCACCTCAATTACCTCCAATAACATCTGGTCCATAAAGTCGCATAGGTCAAATCAGATTGTGGATTGGGTCATGGGTCGGGTCACTAAGCCGAGTCGGTGCAGGTCTAGAAGTTGGGCGGTTGGTGGGCGATTGGGCCATGGGCATACTACTGGCTGGACTACATAGATTATTGGGCTAGTCTAGCAATTGGTTTTTGGTATGGAGTAGACAACCAAAGATGACACAAGTTCGGTTGGGCTGTCGAAGTTGAGGTCCAGAGCTCGGTTCGGTACCCAAGACTAACTCCGAACATGGGGAAAGATGACGGAAACAGATTAAGGTAGGTGAATAATAATAATTACTATTATTATTTTAAATTATAGTTTGTTACAGCGCCAGTTTGATCATTGGTTATTAAAAATATACAGAAACAATATTAAATTATTTATTTATTTATTTATTTATTTTTCTATCAACTAGCTAAACACATGTTAGCACGTGAAGAATACATATTTTGATCTAGCTAATAGTAAACTAATTACAATTAGATGCACTTAACTTTGGTAAATATATGTGTATCCTTAACCTGATCTAACCTTGAGAATATAAAAGCTTATAATCCAGTCAGTCGATTGATATGGATTTGGAGGGTGCAAAAATGGGAGCAGTGGAGGGCGACGAGCTGCTGGAAGCTCAATCTCACATATGGAATCACATCTTGGCGATCAACAAGTCGATGGCTCTCAAATATGCGGTTCAAGTTGGCATACCAGACATCACCCACCGCTATGGCCCCAACCCCATGCCGCTCTCTCAACTTGTCTCCGCCCTACAGCTCCACCCGCAAGACACCCCTCACATGCATCGCTTAATGCGTGTATTAGTTCACTCTGGCTTCTTTTTCGAACGCAAAAACTGAGTGAACCAAAGGGTGAAGAAGATGAGGGGTATGTGCTCACTAATTCATCTCGTCTTCTTGTTACAACCAACCCTTTGACTCTAGCTCCTTCCGTGTTTTGTGTTCTTGAGTCGGCCTTCTTCCAATCATGGCGCTCCCTCCCAACCTGGCTCCAAACTAGGACCGAACACCCTTCCACACAGCCAATGGAGTCTCGTTTTGGGAGTGTCTCGGGAATGACTCCACGGATGATGGAAGTCCATGGCGAGTGATGCCATGTTTGTGATACGTATTTTGTTGGAGAAATATAAAGATGTGTTCGATGGATTTGGGTCATTAGTTGATGTAGGGGGTGGGACTGGAAATGTGGTCAAAGCCATTGCTCAAGCCTTTCCTAAAATGGAATGCACTGTGTTTGATCTCCCACAGGCTGTGGGTGATTTGAAAGGCGAAGGCAACTTCAAATATGTTGAAGGGGACATGTTCCATGCCATTCCTGATGCAATTCTATTGAAGGTAAAAACTTCATCTCTTCCTTTCTTTCTTTTTATATATACATACCCACAACCACTTTCCATATGATATTGTCCATTTTGAGCATACGCTTGTTTTGGGCTTCCTCAAAATGTCTCACACCAATGAAGAAAGTATTCCTTGATTATAAACCTATGATCATTTCCTAAATTAGCCGATATAGCCTTTGATCACCCAACGATTCTAATTTATGAATGCCTGAAAATAGTGGACGAAGAATGTGCGAAGATTTTGAAGAACTAGCAATTAGGGGCAATAAAAGGAATGGAAAAGTGATAGTAATTGATATGGTGGTAGGCAACAACAAAGATGAATAAAAAAGAGTTATGAATCAAACAAGTGCAATACATAGATAGAAAATATAATGACAACTTACAACAACTTACAACGGTTCGTCCCCTCACAAAGCTAAAATGGTAACCATCCTACAAATGAGTTTACAAACTTGATCCCAATATCTTAGTCCTACAAATACATATTTAATCATAAAAAGAGTTAAAATTTGATCCCAAAGCCTAGCATAAGCCATTAAAAAGGGAGTGTCAAGGGTAAATCTCTATAAGAGACCTTAGGCCCAGAATGGGGAGGATGTTGTAGCCACTAAATCCAGCTTCTCTGATCAATTTTGCCCACTCTTTTTCTTCCCTCTCTTTCCCACCGACTAAGATCATCATCAACATGTCATAGAACAGTTGAGTTTCGTACGAGTCCGACTCCTTCCCTTTATAGCCCACCACCATGTCAATTACCATCACTTTTCCTTTGTAACCATGGCTCGTAATGGCAGCCTTGCAGTTCTTCAAAATCCTCACACATTCTGGGTCACTCCAATCATGTAATATCCACTATTTTGTCACCACCAAATATCACATTTCGTTAATTAGTATTTTTTTAGACGATAATAAAAAATTTAAGATTAAATATATATAAATTCCGAATGTTAATTAGTGTATAAAAGTGGGAACCGGATAAACCACTGCTTCTTTTTTTTTTTTTTAATTATTATTTTCTTTAATAAATTAGATTTACCTTCAATAGAAGCGCATCGGCAGAAGGGATGGCTTTAAACATATCTCCTTCAACATATTTTAAGTTCCCTTCACCTTTCAACTCACCCACCACTTGGGGAAGATCAAGCACTGTGCATTCAATTTGTGGGAAGGCCTCTGCAATGGCTTTGGCCACTGTTCCAGTGCCGCCACCGACATCAACTAGCGAGGCAACTCCATCAAAGACTCCTTTATGTTTGTCCAATAACACACTCATCACCAACCTCGCATCACTCGCCATGCCTGCATTGAAACCCTCCCCATCTTTCACCTTATTCCCCAAGAACTCCCAAAGCGGCATTCCATGAGCCGTATGGAATGGCGTTCGGTCTTCACTTTGGAACCAGATTGAGAGGAGCTGCCATGGTTCCACGAGGGCTGGTTGGAGCATGGAAAGTAAGAAAGGAGTTGCACCACAAGGGTTGTGTTTAAGGAGAAGACGAGATGAATTTGTTAGGACATACCCTTCTTCTTCTTCTTCTTCTTCTTTGCCACTATTTTTGGGCACCTTTTGTGCTACAAAGAAGCCGGAGTGAGTCAATAGTCGCATTAAGCGATATATGAATTGGGTCTTATTCGGATGGAGTTGGAGGGCTGAAACAAGACGAGAGAGAGGCATAGGGTGAGGTTCATGGCGGTGGATGGCATCTGGTATGCCTAGTTGAATGGCGCATTTGAGAGTCATGGAGTTGATGAAGTTGAAGAGGTGGTTCCATATGTGGGCTTGAGCTTCCAGCAACTCATTGCCGGCAATTGCTGCCATTTTTCCACCCTCCAAATTCATAATGATATCAAGGAGAGATCGTTGGAGAACTTTATGGGTTGGAAAGTGTGATTTGGTTCTTCCTATTTATAGGTAAATGTGTATATTAAATATTGTCTTGTTTTGTTTTTAGGTTAGAGAATCAAATTTTTATATATAATATAATTATGGTCAAAAGTTTGAAACTTTTTAATTATAAATTCCAAATGTGCGACCGTCCAAATACATGAGGGGTCATAAATTAATCGAAACCACGCTTGAATGACATATATTATAAGAATAGTATAAGATCTCACATTAGTCAAAGAGAGAAATGAAACATTCTATATAAGAATTAGGCGATGCACCATCCTTGCTGCTACGTACGTTGACCTTGACTTGACAGATTCATCCAATGGAACCCACACTAAAAGGAGGACCACAAGCTCGGGGCTCGACGAAAGGGCAAGTATCAACATGTTGAAACTGATTGGGGTTAGCAGTGAAAGAAAGAGCCCGGCATTCATTTCTTCATTCATATTTATAGCTTAGTCTACTAAAATCAAAGGGGGACTAGCCTCATCGTGGTAATTAGAGGACATCTTTGATCGTTCACCTCTATTGTGACACGTTCCCTCCCAGTTATATGATTAACGGGATCTATTGAACAAATGTGTTTTAAAAACTTAGGGGAAACTTAAGGAGAATACTCGTGGTCGGACTTAAACTATTACAAATAATATTAGAATAAGATAATAAGCGATGTGTCGAGAACTCTAAGCCTCGAAGGGAAATGGATGATGGGCCAGGGGTGGATGGTGAAATTCCACGTGAAACATGTAAATTTTTTTCTTTTAATTTATATTTTAATAAAATTATTTAAAATATCTATCCACAATTGTTGTCGATCAAACTTTCCATTAATAAATCCATCATGTCAAAATCCCACAATATTTAAAAATGTCATTAATTATTAATTGTGTATTATGTTATCAAATCCAGCCATATCCAACTTGTTATGCTTTTGATTAAAGATATGACATCTTAGTTAATTAAACAATGCACAATGCACAAGTGGTACTCTCCATTATTATCTATACGCTTAAAAAATTGAATTTATTTTAATTTTTAATATCATGATGAAATCTATCATAATCTTAATCTTTCAGTTATAATCTTTCAGTGATATATGTAGTAATTGTTGGATGATGAAAGTCCCACATCGGTTAATTTAGGAAATGATGATGGATTTATAAGTGAGGAATACTAACTACATTGGTATGAGGCCTTTTGGAAAGCCCAAAGCTGATCAAGGCGTGCTTTGTTTGAGGGGATAATGAAAGCGGTTGATTAGGGCGTGCTTTGTTTGAGGGGTGTTTGAGGGGATAGTGAAAGCGATTGACGGTTCATTACTAACAGTAATAAATCTATTTTAAAAACTTCAATTATTGTCAATTATAATTAATTTATTATCAAATAGAGCATATATACGTCACCTACATCACGTGCTAAGCTCGTTGATAATCATCTATTCAATTTTAATTTTCAATTAGCCAAAGCTCGTTGATAATCATTATTTAATTACGAGTTAAGCATCCTTGCGTTGTTATCAGAAAAAAATAATTAAATAATATTATTTTAGTTTATTATTATGCAAGTTAAATGAACTTTGTATTGTTGGGCTTTTAAATTGCGGGCTAAAGACGTTGGGCCTAATTCCATTTTAATTTGAGGAAATCAATGGAAGTGGTATTTTGCAAGAACGAATCTCCTTCTGGATTGTTCGGCCTGCGATCGATCCACCGGTCTGCGTTTGATTTATTCGATTCCATTTTCCTCTTCCCTAATCGTCTTTCTTCTTCCCCACGCATTATGTTTGCGGAATCGGCTACCCGGTCAACAGTGACCAACTACAACAGTCAACCTTTCTATTTCTTTCCCACGTCTTTAATTTCGACCAGTTCTATGTTGTAGAGCTCGATTCGAGTTTGTGTTAACGTTTTGGAAAGAGGGTGCGTTGGCTGGGAATGATTCTCCCTTTTGTGAAGTTAGGGGCTCTTGCTCTGAAAACCATCTGCAAACCAATCGCCAATCGTCTCAAGAAGGAGGCTGGATTGCACCCCAAGTTTAGGCAGTACATTATCAACATCGCACAGGTTTTGTAGAATTTCAAGGATTTTCATTTCTTTCAAATGTATTTATGCGATAGTTTGTTTTCTCGTTATGGTTCATGCTAGCTGTTATTTATGATATATTTTGCACAAATGTGATGCTTCTGAGAGATGAAATTAAGGTATATTGTAATTATCTCGAGTGAAATGGCGTAGATGGGCCACGTTCCATGTTTTGTTTTGTTAATCTATTTTCTTGGTATGCTTAAGCTTATTTGTCCCATGATTATTAGCCCTTAGGACTTTTACTGCTATGAAGGTCTGCAGTCTTAGACTCGTGCCAGGTGGTGAATTAAACATGTACGTTAATATTGCTAAGCTTATGAAATCAGTTGTTTCAAATTTGGTGCAACTCAAGCATTTGAATGCCCTTTTCCTGGATATATTATAACCCTAGTCTAAAGTTTTTAAAACGCGTATGCTGAGGAGAAATTTTCATGTCCGTTCCTCTCTCCAATCGATGTGGGATCTTACCATCCACCCTCCTTTAGGGCCAATCGACGTGGGATCTCACATACATGTTACTATCCACCCTCTTCGCTGGCAATTGTTTCCTTCTCCAATTGATATGGATACAATCCACTATCCTTCGAGGCCAACGTCTTTGCTGGCACTCATTTCTCTCTCCAATCGGGGTGGGATCTCACATACATGTTACGTCATAGATTAAGTGTTCATAGAATGCAGATAGATTTATTGCCCATAAGCCCATTCTTCCTTGTGGAATGGATTTTAAGATGTTCTGATCTTGTTCTTTCATATACTGAACCAGGCAAATCATCGGTTTTCAACGAATGTGCAACGAAGAATATATGGTCGTGCAACAGATACTGCCATAAGGCCCTTGAATGAAGAGAAAGCTGTCCAAGCTGCAGCAGATCTTCTCGGGGAGCTCTTTGTATTCACGGTAAAATGATATCTTCTCTCTTTCTCTCTCACTCTTCTTCTTTTAGAAAAATTATCTTAGCATTTGCTGGTTTGTATTTAAGAATCAGTAGTTTGCTTCTACTGGGATATTTGGATTTATAAAATAATATCCAATGGCACGAACATGTTTTCCTTGTTCTTTTAGTGAGATATGATAATGAGCTTAAAAATGTGCTCTTTTGGAGAAGTATATTAGAAGCACCATGTCATCCTATGTGCCATAAAGAAAACTTTAAAGATCCATATACTCATTATCATATTGCTCCATTAGAAGTGTATATTTCCCAGTTTTATAACAGCTGTACTCTGCCCATAGGTTGCTGGAGCTGCTGTTATTTTTGAGGTGCAAAGAAATTCGAGATCAGAAGCAAGAAAGGAGGAGCTCCGCAGGCAAGAATTGGAGGTATTTGGATCTTTTTCTTCTTCCTTCTTTTGTTTTATTGACATTTTCGAATTCATCGTGGGATAATTTTCAATGATTTTCTTTCCTTTAAATTTATAGTGCTTCTTTTGGTGTGACTGTAATTTGTATTCATGAACTTTTTGTAATTTGAAAATTACTGAAAATTACTCTTGTCGTTTCACATACATGTTCTTCTGATCTGACTTGAACTTAAAGTAATGTTTAAGCATACTTCGTTATTCTAAAATATATGTACATGCTTGTAACTATAGGCGATGAAGCAAAGAGATGATGATTTAGCTCGAGAAATAGAAATTCTCAAACAGAAGATCGAAGAACTGGAAAAATTGTCCAAGGGACGAGGTCTAACTGGCTTGTTTCACTTCAGGCATCCGCATGCCTCTGAAGCTGGAAAAGAGAAACACCCTTGATCATCAATGACATCAAGTAATCCATTGATTTTGTAACTGAGCATTTTATTATCAGTTGATTGTGATTCAATATTCTTAACAGACGTTGCTAATGAAGGCTTATGCAATTAAAACTTGGAGATCATGGATGAAATTGTTGATATAAGACTCCTCCAGTTCTTTGTCAAGGAATAACTCTCTCAACTTCTCACGGTTTTCTCTGATCGCTTTACCAGTTTCATTCTCTTCGTCCATCACGGTCTTCACTGCCTTACACACACTTTCTTTTGTAAAAAATCCATCTTCTTCCCTTTTCTCCACCTCCACACCAACCTTCAAATGGCTGCTCATTGTTCTTGCTCGAAAAATGTGGTCGCCAACATGAGGCAACAATACTAACTGGCATTTCTTCACCAATGCCTCAGATAAGGACCCTGCCCCACAATGTGTAACAAAGCATCCAATTGATGGGTGCTCCAAAATAAGCTGTTGTTGAACCCATCCTCCATATACCACCCCTCTCCCCTGAACTCTCTGTTCAAATCCTTCAGGCAAGGCAGCACCGACCGACTCTACGCCAAGCGGAGGTTTGAGTGCAGCAAAGAATGGTAAGTTTGAAAGCTCAAAACCCAATACCAATTCATGGAGTCGGTCTTTTGTTAAGTAACACTCACTTCCAAATGCACAGTATATGACTGAACCAGCATCGAATCCTGATAGCCATTCTGCCCATCTATGTTCTAAAGCTGTTGTTGGTTGCTGTATGTCCCCATCGGGTCCTGATAGCAGAACAGGCTTTTTTAATTCACTTATGAGGTAGTCCACGCTGGGCCCTTCAATCTCCCTACATGACTTGAATGCTATAGCATCAGCCTCACAAAGACCAGTGAAGTGGCGATGAGAGAAAAGGACATCACTGCCAAAGCTCATACGGCCCATGGATGCAACATTTTTGGCCTCGTGAGCATGAAGCTTGATTGTGGAAATTGGGTACTTAGGAGGTGGCTGCATGAAATCAGCCTCGGTTAAATCATGTCCACAGAGTTGCCTTGATGGGGTATAAATATAACCAAATGTTGTAGCACTAATGACACTGTAATAAAGTGAGGTGATGCCCAATTGAGATGCCAATTTGGGCATCCAGAAGGTGAAATCAAAGAAGATGAAATGGGGTTGTAAGTCTTGGAGGAGGCGTTTGATTTGTGGTTGGGTGAGATCCATTGCAGTCATGATATGACTGAACCGTGAAGGGTGAGAAACATCGGCAGTAGTTTCAGCAGCTTCAGGGAGACCATCCACATGAGGAACAGTGATGGGGACGAAGGTAATGAGATGAGGAAAGTGATTGAAAGGCTGTAATTTGAGGTGAGTTTTTGATGGGACGAAGAAGGAGATTTTGTGGCCTTTTTTGGCTAATTTGTTGGCAATATGGAGATATGGAACTAAGTGGCCAAAAGCAAACCAAGGGTACATTGCTATGTGCAGGCTAGAAGTGGCAGCCATTGTTAAACACCTCTTCCCTCTTCTTCCTTTCTCTCTAACTTTGGATTCTTGTTTCAAATATGGATGACAAGAGAAAGAACTGTGAGATGGAGAGTTTCATACCTGCAGCTTCGAAGGTTTCTGCAGCAAATTGTGAGATGAAAGGAAAAAGAAGAACTTCACACAGTGGGTTTCTGGGGAAGCTTTCCGTGGGGAAGTTGCAGCAAATTGTGTGATGAAGGAAAAAGAAGAATTTCACGCGGTGGGAATCTGGGGATACTCGAAGTCTTTGTAAAATAATATAGAAATTGATTGACAAATAGAGAGAAGAAGAACGTGTGGCATGAACAAGAGACAGTTGTTGGAAGGAAAATCACTCACATTGGAGACACATTTTTGTATATGAATGTAAAAATCTATTTTAAAAACTCTGAGGAAAAACTCGAAAGGAAAAGCCTAAATATGACAGTATCTGTTAGCAGTGTAGTGAGCGTGGATTGTTATAAATGGCATCAAAGCTAGACACCGAACGATGTGCCAGCAAGGACACTGGACCTAGAACTGAGTGGATTGGGAGGTCTCACATCGATTGGAGAAGGGAACGAGTGCCAGTGAAGACGCTGGGTCTCAAACGGGGTGGATTGTGAGATTTCGCATCGGTTAGGAAAGTGAACGAAACATTGTTTGCAAGAGAGTGGAAACATCTCCGGTTTTAAAAACGTCGAGAGAAAAGTAAAAGAGGAAGAGAAGTTAGATTAAAAAATTAAAATTTTAAATTTTTGGTGTAGAACTTAAAATAACATAAATTATGATCAATAAATAAATGGTAATATTTTTGTTCTAAGTCTAAGTTTATAGTAACGCTTAGCTCAATTTCTCTAAGAAAAATTGATTTATTTTTAATTTACAAGGAATTTTAAATAAAAGGTTGTTTTTTTCTAAAGAAAATTACATAAAATATAATTTAGGTAGTCAATAGTAGAATGAAGAGGAACTGCGCTCAGTTTGTGAAGTCTCCGAACTTTTTGATCAATTTCAGCTCCTCCGATTGCCTTGAAGCTTATGATTTCGTTACCGCAGGCAAAATTTTAACAGAAATGGAAGCAGGTCATTCTACAAAGTCGATGAGCTTCGTTTTGCTGCTTTCATTCTGTTTCTTCTTCGCTTCTGTTCGCTCTGTTCCATCACTTATCGGAGTGCACCCCCTTGGTAATCTTATCTTCTCTCTTTCTTTCTTTGACTGTGTGCTTAATGCTCTCACTGGATCTGATTCTGCGAAGCTTAAAATTGAAATTTCTAGCGCTATTTCGCCCCTCATCCATCTAACTGCCCCTTTTGGGGTGTACCCAAATATTGTCAATTGATGTTAAATTGGTGCCCATTCGGTAAAATTTTCTGAATTGAAATGTGTATTCGATTGCAGATGAGAAATATTATTCATCGGAGGTCATAAAATGCAAGGATGGGTCTCGATCTTTTACTATTGATCGTCTCAACGACGATTTCTGTGACTGCGTTGATGGGACCGATGAGCCTGGTGCTTTCTTAGTTCTTACTGGATTTTAATAATTAATGTTATGCCTTTCTAAGGATTTCCGATGCATAATTTGTTTCGAGCATCTAATATCGATTTTCGAGTGGTCGAATTAATTGAGAAGTTCTGGTTTGTGGAATGGAGAAGAAAATTTCTTACTGAAGAACTTCAATTTGAAATGGCTGTTGAAATTAGGTAGTTAACTAAGGCAACAATTAATAGCCATTGTAATCTGTCTTAAATGGGAACTTGGTAAAGTTTAATGTTCTATTGCATAAACTATTGAAAAAGACCTACCATGATTATCTTAGAAGATCATGACTTGTTTTTCTTTTTGAATTTTCACCGGCATTTTGAGAATTGGAATGTTGATACCATACCTATTTTTTCCTGTATCATTAGAAAGTAGGATAGGTTCTGCATTTGAATGATACTGAACTTATAAGCAATAAATCCGAAATCTGGGATGGCCAATTGTTCATGTGAACAAAAGGAAATCAAACCTTCCCCAATAGGCAAGAAGAGACCACACACACACAAATACAGTGCAAGGATCAGCCAATTGTCTCATGGATTTGACCTTTGCAGGAACTTCTGCCTGTGCAAGAGGGAAGTTCTATTGCAGGAACATGGGAAGTACACCACGGTTCCTATTTTCTTCCCGCGTCAACGATCATATTTGTGGTAACTATCTCTGAATCTTTTTGTTTTTCTTCTTCTTTTATGCATGTGATTCTATTGAAGTTTGGTCAAAAGAAGACAGGTGAGTCAATGAAACACCATAAATTTGTTGATGTAGATTTTAGTACAACCTTCCTGTGATGGTATGTGTAATGCAATGAGTACAAGTCATGTGCTAAGTGTGCTGATTATTTGTTCTTCCTGCTTTATGTTTAGACAATTTAAGGTCTCTATTCTGTGTAAAGTCTGCAAACAGTGGTTGAAACTTTAAAATCAGCATTTTCCAGACCAAAACTTTACAGACCATTTTGTTCCATGTGCAAAGTTTGTCTGCATATTTTTGACTTGTGTTTGAATCCACAGGTAATTTGGGGAACTTGGGGTTTTCATTTCATCTTTGAATTAAATTCTAGTTCCCTGTTCAATATATAATTGTAGATTGCTGTGATGGAAGTGATGAATATGATGGTAATATCTTTTGCCCGAACACGTGTGTCATGGGGGGAAATGCAGCGTACAAGAACAGTTATTATATTTCGACTTCTCGAGATGTGGATGTAATCAACAGAAAAGTAAAGGAGGAAATCACCAAGGAGGACTTGTTCCATAGGCTAATTGGTAGGATTTTTGTTTAAGTAATTACAAAACAGATTTTGAAGTATTCGACTGATTGCTGTAACTTATAATTTCAGGTTTGAAGCTAGTAATAATTCTACAAGTAGCCCTCATAAGTTTTGCAGTCATCATTTGGGCAAACCGATGTCGTGTGAAATCTAAGAGAAGACGAAGGGAAGGGCGGGCAAAAAACCTCTCGAATTAGAAAATGGAAATAAAGGAAAAAAGGAAGTTGTGGACGAAAAAAATCGTGACTCAGTTTTATCAAACCAAAAAAAAAAAATGATCTTGAAAAAGATTCGGCGGAAGGCTATCGTCATTTTGCTCTGTTTTAATCCTAAGTACGTCTCCCATTAGATTTAATATTTTTTCTATTAGTCATATGATTTCATGATCTTGTTTCTTTCAGATACTCACAAACCTCAACCCGCTGGATAAAGAACTCCTGCTCTACCTTCACCCTTCACCGCAGAGCCATGGTCCATTGGGTGGCTAGGGCTAAGCTATATTATATATAAAGATCCATCTTAAGCCAACTTAGCCATAACCTAAACATCCTGCTTATTCATCACAGCAGCACAATAACACAAAGGATTAGCAACTCTGTCTGCATCAATTTTGTTACAATTAGGTTAGTTGATTGACTCATTAGTAAAGTTGATGGTTTCTTCCATTCGATCCGAGGTTCAACCCCCCCCCCCCCCCCCCCCCCCCCCCCCCCCCCCCCCCCCCCCCCCCCCCCCCCCCCCCCCCCCCCCCCCCCCCCCCCCCCCCCCCCCCCCCCCCCCCCCCCCCCCCCCCCCCCCCCCCCCCCCCC